GAATCGCCTCCCACATACTTCCCAGTGTGACTTGATCGTCACTCGAATGCAAGCTTTTGGCCGAGTCGATGGGCAGGATACCAACTGCACCCACAGACTCTCCACACACGTATGCGTGGATCGCCAGCGAGGAACAGAGGGTATATCGACCCAGCACAGCAGAATCAAGGAGGCCTTTCCCTGAATCCACCTGCGTCCCTGGGCGAGTACCGGTGACTTTTGGTCGGCGATTAGTTCCCCTATCCGCCACCTGGGGACGCCCTACGTAGCCTCGTCACTAGCCGACTGGGGATCCTTCAGTGAGAGAGAACTCAGTGAAGGAAATCCGTAGAATTACATTATCACCTCCGATTATTTTATAGACATAGAGAGCACGGTGCCAGTACAGGTCGAAATCACAGTTCTGAAGTAATCAATTCTTTCCACATTACTCACTTTACTCCATTAAGCTACCCATCAATTTTCTGCTCTATATATAAGAAGGAAATGTAGGATAGAGTTGGAACCTCCATATCCGTACCTTTATCGTAATTTTAAATTTCACAGACGGACAGACAGACAACCACACAAACCGACAAACCGACATACCAACAAATCAATACACCAAGTTACTGCTTTATAAATAAGAGTGATACAAGAGTGACTTAGTGTACTGGTTTGTATGTTTGTCGATGTGCCGGCTTTGTTGTAGGCTTGTCCCGTCACGAAGCTTCATAATGGGTATAGGGAAGTAGAAAACCTATCGAAATTATCGTCGCTTGTGGTGAAGATCCTCGATTAATCTCTCGTCGCTTCTTGGTCTGAATAAACTCCCTGTTTAAACTAACGTTTCTGAATGGAATTCAAACGGACTTACCATACTTGTACTGACTTTATATTTTGTTAACTACTGTTATATCGCCACGGACGTGAAGCGAAAGCTTTACAAAGATGGCGATTTGTGGAAAACTTCAAACTCAGACAGTACTCTGACAAGGCTGAAAGGTCATGGCATAGAAGCCATTGAGAAAGCGAGCGCAACCCGGGTCTTGGTAGTGTGGAGGATATAGAGCGCGGTATCCGGAATGCCCAAGTTCGAGTCACTTCCGAGGCCGAAGTTCCGCATAGTGTACTGCAAGTCAAAACAAGTATTATCAAGTAAAGCTTACAGCCTAACGG